CGTTAAGTATATTGTATCTTTGCTGTGTCGTTTAATTTTTCGTCGTGAATTTCAAGAATCAATAGACCGTCATTATCAGCTCTGTCATTACTAACATTGTCTATCTTGCCGTGGTTTTCTACAGTTTCATAATAATCATCGAGCGACGTGGCGGTCGGGGATACTGTCGAAAGATCGGTGGATTCGGCAGATACGGGCGTCGTCGTATCGTCAAGAACTGTTACGGTTTCGGCAGATCTCTGCTTTTAGATGCGGCGTATTTCCGGTTCCAACCGATTCGCCCAGTCGTTGAGACCGGGCACGATAAATGTCATTATCGATTCGTTGATGGACTTGATACATCCCCACAATCTCAACGGAGACTTAAAGCAGTCGCATTTAAACGGGACCGGTCCTTCCTCGCTCGGAAGCGTGTCGAGATTGTCGTGGTACTCGCCGGGACCGAACAGCACAACCGACAGGCTGCCAAGGACGTGGAGGAAACCTCGATCCTTGAACGGTCGGCCCCTTTTGCCGGTTATACCGGAGACCTGAGCTTGGGCGACCCTGACGCAACTTGGGTTCCAGTTGCCGCCGCTGCCGCTGCCCCATTCGGGCCATTTGATATCGCGATGCAAGACGTCGCCGGCGGTGGTGTTTATCTCACGATCTGCGTATAAGAGAGAGATCAAGATTCTTGTGAAATAATATTTTCACTTTGGCGCGATATCACGCGCCTCACCACGGCGAAAAATCTTCCTCTCACCTTTTGGTCCGCCGTCGTCGTCGCTCTCTTTCGCGGCCAGTGGCGACTGACTTTCCAGTCGAGTCCGGAAGATTTCCTTGGCACTCGGCGCCGCCGGTTCGTCAATGGGCAACCGACGTCTTACTGTTTGGGAATGATCCTTGGCACCGGTCGCGGTTTTCCTCGGCGTCGATCCAATATCGTATAGGATGTAGCATATCGCACGACGATGCAGTGCAGGAGCAGTAGTTGCACGATCTAAGGAAACGATAATCCGTTTTTTTTTTTTTAATACAGGTGGTTTCGTAAGGCCGCTTTTATTGTCGGCCTTAATGTACCACCGGTACATTTCACTTTTACGCCGGCCCGCGATATTTCCGAGTACTCGCGAATTACTTATGATACCTAGAACATCGATGTACGTATGATGAATGTTGCCGAACACGTGCGTATGTATACACGTGCGTGTATACGCGCAAGCGGGTAGATTTTATATAGGCTCCGTATTCCGTTCCGTTCTTTCGACACCACGAAAGCGAAAGCAGAGAACCGGAACCGACGCGGTTCACCGATCTGTGATGGACCGTGCGCGACTTATTCTGAAGTACAAATTTAACGCGGTCGCGTAAAAGTCACGTTCGAAACCGTGACCGGACGTGGATGCGGCCATCCTCGGGCGGAGGGCATTAATTTTTTAACGAGTCCGCCTCCGAAGCGTTTCGGAGCGTGGCGGCGTCGAGGAGTTTAAACGCCCGCGACGCTCGCACATTCATTCATTTGAACTTCGGTTGCAGAACGGCGACTCGACAATGAGGACCGCCTTATATAACGAAAGATACCTTTCTCCAGATTACTTTGTAACTACCGGCAAAATTATATGAATGGATTGTCCTCCCCCGAGGCGGAAAGTCGCACGGAAGGTCGCCGGAAGATTATACGTTTCCGATTTTTATTTCGGCATTACTCTATTAAATTCATAGTCAAATTACATTGCTAAATTGTACTCAATTTGAGTAATTTTCCTATACTTGATATGTCGTTAACGTTAATTTAACTAAACCAATGGACCGTGACTGGCAATATATAACGTCTTTTCGATATGAACATTGAAAAAGTGTGAGCCAACTTGGTTTGTCGGATTCACACAGCACTTTTTCGGATCAATCATCGAGACATTATTAATTTCGACCATGGGTTTTGGTCAGTTGATGTACTTTAATTGTTATTCTATATACTGGCGAAAGAAATTTATTATTCTGTTTAAACCAATGAAGTTAAAATAAAGTTAGAAGTTCAAAGGCCAATAACGAGAGGATGTGTTTTACCATCGACGTTTTACCATTGACTTATCTCCGCGTTCTTATTTTTTTTTATTCACTGTATTATGTGTTCTTTGTTTTAATTATTTAATTTAATAATTTATTTTCTTAAATGATTGAGGGAGATTTTTTGTAGATCGAAAGGTCCCCATGTATATTTAAGAGATATTAAAATATTTTTATTTTTAAATTTAACATCTCTCGATTGCTCGTTTATTGGCCTTCGAACTTCTAACTTTGTTTTGAAACACAGGAGTGAGAATAACACTGTTTTGCGTTAAAATAAAAAATTTCGACACACATATGATAGTTAAAAATAACAAAATGTTTTTAACTCAAGGTACTGGTTTAAATTTCAAGGAGATACGCGCTTCGCGGTTTATCTCGGCTTGCATAAGCGCGGAATCGTAGCTTTCTGGCGCTCAGTTGGAAACTATAATCGAAGATGAAGGATTCTATTCACGCTGTAGATCGACAGACGGATAGCCATCCTAGTCCATTATGATTGCGAATGCGCGCGATTACGCGATATACGCGAGTACGCGAGCGAATTCGCAAAGTGCAGAGAGGCAACGCGGCGGCTTATTTCCGCGTCTAGATATCCTCGCTCCATTCCGCTCGTAAGCGTCGTAAGAACCTCGGAACAGTAACAAAGAATATGTACGATATTACTCGCGAGCGGCGAGCACTGCACCAGCAATTATGACTCGTTAGGCCCCCGCGGTCCGGCGGAATCTAATTACGCTACGTGATTAGCGTAGAAGTGCGTGCTCGAGGAGAAAATATAACAGCGACGGTAAGTATACGCGCCGTTACATCCCACACGTGTAACTCGCTCGTCTCTCTATTCCGCGAGACGGTTCTCATTGTGAGACGTTTTGATATATCGGAATCGAGACTTTCACGATTCGCCAACCGGCGGTCTGTCGCGACAGGTGGAAGAGTATATCCGAGAACGGAATTACTATATACTAAATGTTTTAAACCGTGAAATTAATATTTTCTCGCGTTTTAAAAGAGAACGACGCCGAAGATCACCCAGCTTTGTGTGTCTCGTGAACATGTTTCCCAAAAAAAAACGATACAAACGTTTCCTGGCGCACGTATCGGGACCGACTGCTAAGTGACTCGTCACTTCGAGACGTTTTGTTCTCTTACACGCGAGTGCTTCCAAATTTTTTCATGACCTTTAGTAGCATAGATCAAAACAAGAGACATGTAGTTTTTCATAGCGCTCTTGAACATCTTGAAGAAAATAAAAACAAGCATTTTTCTAAGCGTGTATCGTTAAAACGGCAAGAAGTACGAAGAAGAATACTTTAAATACTTTAAACAATAGTTTTATAGTTTCAAAGCTATTTTATACTTAGAGCTATTTTATTTCTCAGATAAAACATCTTGAAAAAAATAGAAAAAAAATTTTCCAGGCGTGTATCATTAAGACGGTAAAAGATACGATGAAAAAATGGTTTAAACAATAGTTTTATAGCTTCAATTTTACACTCAAAATTTTCAAAAATATTTTTCGAAAATGTTCTGTACCTAATGTATCATTCAATATTCTTTTTCACATTTTTTTTTAGATCTAGTTTTTTGATTTGTCTTAAAATGTAAGCTTAATTTTTTTCGCAAAATATTTTCCGTTGGTATTTCTCTCGGTACTCGGTACCGCGAGAATATACACGCCGTGTCGAGCCATCACGAAATGCCTTCTGCCTACAGTCGTGGATTTATGAGCTTTTACTTTCACTCGGAATGCTCGATTACGAGCAATAACGTATAATGTATATGTATAAATAAGCGTAAAGCGTGTTATTTATTGTATCGAGATAAGAATGTGCACATGTCGTGTTAAGAGATATGACCACTTAAGCGTAATTCGCGCGGGGCAAAAAACAAAACGTACATTGCATCAAAGACGAAATAACAAGGGCAGTAAGAACCAATGGATATTAGCAGTGCGTAAATTATATAAAAGCAGTTGTGTAAGTTGAAATGGTAATTTATATATATTATCAAATCAATTCAAATTTAGCAAGACATTTATATTCTTGAAGACAGGACACACAAAAAAGATTAATTGGTCATAATCTTCTGAAAAAAACTCATCGATCAAAATTTACGAGCGATAATTTTACAAATGAAATAATTAAAGCCACTAAAGTATGTGACCAAGATAAAAAAAAAAAGATTGAGAACGTCGAATCATCCAGCTAGAAATTTTACTTTAAGCAATTCTACTAGTTAAATTCAATCGATATAGTATAATTTTGTTAACAAATAGAATGATTAATTTTTTATTGTTTGACATATAGGAAAAAAAGATTAGATTGACAATAATAGGACAACAAACTATATATTTAGAAACAATTCTGCCTATTAATCGACTGTTAAATCGTCAAGTAAAATAATACCTTATTAACGTAAATAAATTATTAATTTTTTGTTTGACAAATTTTTGCTTCAAACAATTCTGCCCCTTAATCGACCGTCGCGACGGTTAATTAACTCGTCAAATAATACAATATCTTATTATTAACGTAAATAGTTTATTAATTTTTGTTGTTAACTTAAAAGAACTTAGAATAGGGACTCAGATTAGGAACAACAAATTATAGCTATAGTTCTCGATGTAAAGGCCATTGCACGTAACAAAGTTTTAGATTTAATCGTAAGGCCGTAAGAAAATAGACCAATCACACTCGATTATTCTTTAAGCGCGAAAAGAATAATCGACCGTGATTGGTCTATTTTCTTACGGCCTTACGATTACAACTAAAACTTTGTTACGTACAATGGCCTTAAGCAATCAAGTTTGAATCAAAATCGCCGGTTAAATTGATCGTTGTTTAATCGAAGTCGCGCTTGAAAATAATCAAAACGTGTCCGCTCTCGAAATTCGATATATCGATTTGTCCCGCGCCGAGCGCGTGTCGGTGTCGACGCGGAGTGGGAACCATCTTTGAACGCACTTCACGTGAGAAGAGAAAACGGCTCAAAATGGCGGCGTACTTGGCAGTTTTCTGTTGTACAAAATAGGTTATCGGGGTGGTGCCTATATGCGACCGACAATTCCGCGGGATCTAACGTGAAGCTAATAGCGTCGCAAGTATTATTATGATCAACTCCAGATAAGACTCGTGTACACGGCGCGTTTTAACCTCCCGTATTATCGCGCGCAACCCGGAAGATAATGGCCGATAATGCCATCGCAGGCGACGACGAGCTCCTGAAAAATATTAAAACGCTCCTCTGGGGCTCGACCGTCAAGGAGGACGTTTTCAAGCGATGGGCGCAAGGTACTGGACCAGCGTTTTGCATCTCGTAGATGCGGCCGCACATCGTAGGCATACAAATTTACAATCACGTCGTGTCACACCGGTTTAATGGCCGATCACTAGAGACAATTTGTAATCATTTCCGCGAAAGATGGCATAAAAAAATCGTTTATCACGCCTTTCTGAATGTCATTCCGCACAAAAAACTGTTGCTCGACAGCACTGTGAATCTGATAAACTTGACAATTTGACCCGGAGTAGAGTTTCAACGTTGGTTACTCATGTACCTCTTATATAATAAATACAGAACATGATATAGTCGAAACGTAATATAGTTAGCGAGAAAAATGTTATAAATATATTGTCGTATTTCCTATAAATGTGGCTATAACAGTTATCTCTGTTGTAGGCTTCTACTTCAGCATAGATGAACCTACCGCGCTTGTACAGAGAGAGGGCGGACCTTGCGCTGTGATAGCCGCGGTTCAAGCATTTATTTTGAAGCAGTTACTGCTGGAGAGCGACGTCATAACTTGGAAGGCTATCAAGGCCGAAAAATGTGATCAGCTGCTTGTGAAAGCCATGACTGAAATTATAACTCAAGCCGCCGATATTCAGGATCCTAAGTATTCGGTGGTGCACGCCGGTGATTCTAATGGCTTTGTGTCCGGCAAGGACGACACTGACTCGAAGTCAACCGAGTCGACGGTGAATCCAGCCCAAGATATTAGCGAGGGTAATCAATTTAACGAAACGCAAGCCGCGAAACAAGCGTCGTTAGAATCGGAGGTTTTTCATTCTCAATTAAGGTACGTTTTACGTTCGAATATAACGTCCCAACAGAAGAATTATTTCGTTGTTTAACGTTTTTGATATTTTATCTCGATCGTCATTTTCAGGATATTTACCACGAGTAGCATCGATGACGTAGAGGATTTCTTCACGGAACGAATTGGAATGTTAAAAGATCAGTACGGTATACTGCTGCTACTTTACACAGTGATGTGTACAAAAGGAGTTTCGGAAATATGCTTCGAAATGTCGGACCCCACAGAACCCATGATCGATTCCACCTATGGATACGGAAGCCAAAGTTTAATAAATTTAATGCTTACCGGCCGGGCAGTTAGTCACGTCTGGGATCATGATCAAGATATTAGTGGATTAAGTGAGATGGCTTTTCTTTTTCTTTAAATTTAATGACTTTATCGTCTCGATTCTATGTGTGTTTTAATGTAGCGCGATACTAGATTGGTTTTTCTAGCATTAATACATTACGTTACGTATGTTGCAGAATTACGCGGTATTGATAAACAGAATACGGTGGGATTCCTCACTCTGCTAGAGCATTTACGTTATTGCGAAGTGGGAACATTCTTAAAATCACCGTCGCACCCGATCTGGGTGCTAGGATCGGACACGCATTTAACTGTACTGTTCTCTACGGAGAAACGATTAGTGAGTCCAGAGACGCCGTCGGAACAAGCGCGAAGAATTTTCAAACGCTTTGACCCTGAAGGGAATAACTTTATCGCGGCAAATTTGCTGCAGGACGTATTGGCGGAATTAGGACTGGTAGCTGATGCGGAATAGTATGTACTCGCTTTCTTAGTTCACACGTTATATACATACTGCGTTAATAGGCATATGTAAAGTTATTTATATTGAATTTGATTCTAATTTTGATAGTTGCAGTAAGTTTTATAACAAAATATTCTTACAGTGTCGATATCATGAGGAAGAAACTGGATGGTGAAAATTTAGGGATAATACTTCTCGCGTCGTTTATGGATGAATTCTTTCCCGAGGAACCATGTATGTGCCCAGACATGTTCGTCTTGTATCACTACAATGGTCTACAGCGTAGCAATCCAGAAAACAGAGTGAAATATCACAAGGGACAAGCGGTATTGCTCGAGTGCACTGTAAAATGTATCATGGATAGCAATCCCATGCTAACGGTCCTGCAAACAAAGTGGCCAAGGATTGAGATACAGTGGGACATAGTACGAAATCCTAGTTTAAATTAGAATTTATAAACTGTAATATATATATATGTATACAATGGAGCTGACGCATAGAGTGACCTGACCGAGCGCTTCTATAGGATATCGTTGAGAGGATTACCATTTTAAGATCGTAGTCTAGTCAAATCGGCCATCTTCTGATTTGCATCGGTAAATACCGCGAGGACATTGAATATACCTGCCAATAAGGAATATTAATTGTTTCAACGAAAATATGTAGTATTCGCGTAACGCATGGTCAGTAAAAATCTATTAAGGATATCTACAATTTATGTCGAAGTATTTGCACCACACTGACTATGTCAACGATATTAAAATAATTACTTTTATTGAATATATTGTCAGAAGCGCAATCTAGTTTCAGTATTTCTCAAAAGAGCATTATAACGAAATTTCTCAGCACAATAGAATTTAACGGTGGTCGATTGCAAGTAATTTACAGTGACACAAGGTTATTAAAAGAATTCTGCTTACTCGCGAAGTTAACTTCATAATAAAGATTTTTAATTTTCACGGAAATTAACACGTAATTCTACGTGGATTCTAATAAAATTCATTTTGTTGCATATTATATAGACGAAATGTTACTAAAGTGTTATAAGGACGTCATTATTTTGAAACTTCCGTTATTATTTTCGCTGTTCTTGCCATAAAAATTATTCGAATCAAAGAAATGTCTTAAAAAGCGCCGTATTTAATAAACCTGTTAAATTCAATTTCACAAGTCTCCTTTCCCGATTAAGGATATAACAAAAAAATCAGGGCTATGGATTAAAAATTGACGCGCAAGATAAAATGTGGCATGCACACTTTCGGAATTTCTACTTAATATATGATAATTTTAATAGATATTTGGTCAATGTTTATTTTATATGACTTTTGCAAAACTGCAGTTACGGTGTTAAATAATAAACTTACTACTTTTGAAAAATAGTTATTGCAATATGATTTCATCGCTTTGTATTAATAATTGAAATCCCACCTGTGGTGAAAATTTTTAAGCGATTTCACAGAGATGATGTAATGTATAGATTCTAATATTTTATTTTTTGATATTACTCAAACATTTCTTTTGAGCATTTATTGACAGTAAAATAGATCGATTTGACATGCTTAGGTACACTTAGGTATCAATTTATTGTTGTATTGACTATTTCGAACATGCGTTTACTGTTTTATTTACACGCATGAATCTCAAATACCGTCTATAAAATTACTAGATACTATCTCTTTAACGCTATTTGCATTATGTGCTATAATGGTATACCCCATTATGTTGTTATAAAAAAAAACATTTATTTACTAAATTTTGAATTATATATACATTTTCAATCACTTGCATCATCAGCTTGATTATCGTCTCCGCCGCTACCCACAGAACTTTCAGAATTGGATTCTTCGTCTGAATCTTTAAGAGCTTTCCCTTTACTATTCTTTTTAGGTCTGTGTGTCTCAATGTCTGAACCTTCCTCATCCGAAGAATAAATATTCGATGCTGCTGAAATAAAGCATTTTTCAAATCACAAACGGTCCTAGTGGACAGAATGAATTAATCTAATATAACCTACGCGTAAAAGAATATAAAGATCTTGAAGTTAGAGATAACACACAACGTAAAAAAATATTAGAGCAACATATTTTGATGTAAAAAACATTAAGATCACGTTTTACAATGTAAAGAATATTAAAACAACACGTTTCAATAGAATGTTAAATAACCTTTGGAAGGAATCACGCCCTTTTTATATTTATTTTTTATGGCTGCCAATGAAATTGCACCCTCGTCATCGGAACCATCATCGTGATAAGCATCACCACTGTACGCTCCTGCAGCACGATTAGTATTCCTAATGCCACTGGTACTTTTCTTCGTTTTGTTTTGAACTCGCATAGCCATACGTAGTTTTTCTTCTTCTTTCTACAAAAGAAAAAGTAATTGGAAACATTGGAGTAATAACAGTTTCAACATGATATGCATGTACAGAAATGATAATGTATACACACCTTTATCATCTCGTATCTGTTCTGGTCTGGGTTCATTCCTACTTGAGAAAGAACTTTAATGCCAGAGGTCTTTTGCGACCTATCGGCCAGAGACATAGTCATCTTCCTGTGCGTGAACGATTCAGTGGAATGCGGCCGGAATGTTAGTTTCGTTCGAAATACTGCTTGACCCTGCAGACCGGTACCTTGGCGAATATAGAGGTGATTGTGATCGCCCTGTAACGGCTGTTTGTACACGTCAAAGATTTCCGAGCCCAAATGCAAGGACATGCTTCCGTCCGACCACTTTACGAATCTCGCGTTACTTTGCTTCACCATTTTGCCCTCGTCGTTAAACGATTCCTTCCACCTCAAAGTATTTTCAACCTTGAGTTTCAATCGAGCGCGACCTTCCTCGTCCAGAGTCTCTTCCTCGTCGATTTCATCTTCGTAGGTCTCGTGATCAAACGGCCTTGTTTCGACAGACAGAAAATTCGGCAATTTCACAAAGTGAATCTCGCGTCCCAGATCGGTAGTAATTTTTGGGATTTCTACGTCAATTCGAGTCTCTGGAGGTGGCTCTGGTTCGTCTTCCTTATCTTTATCTTCCTCCTACACAGAGAACGCACAATTTAACATTAAAATATCTACATTTCTTCATGTCAAAATCCGTTTCGCTTTTCTTGCCACACATTACAAATAAATACATTTCTAAAATCGTAAAAAAGAAATGAAATAAAGACTTATTCGCCTCTCGTCCCATTAACTTACGTCTTCGATAACGGTTCGATGGCTTGGACCTTCTCCACCGCTCTCAGATCTACCGCGACTATGACTTCTACTCCTACTCCTACTCCTACTCCTGCTTCTACTCCTGCTTCTGCTTTTGCTCCTGCTGCGACTTTTGCTTCTACTCCTGCTTCGACTGCGGCTCCGTTCTTTTTCTTTCTCTTCTTCCTTTTTATCCTTTTCGTCGTCCGTACTAATGTCACTCGCATCACCGAACAGCGCGTCCGCGGTTGGAGCGACGCTATTTTCCTTCTCAGCTGTCTCGTTGTCGGAATCTGAATGTATTACCGGTTTAGTTCGTTTAACAGGCTTTTCGGCATCTGAACCGGAACTGCTACGTTGCCGTTTATTCTTCGACCGTTCTTCCTCGTCGCTCTCGTCGGATTTTGAACTTCGATCTAATCGGAAAAAAGTTTCAATATTAAACAATACAATTAATTAGATAATTAGAAAACATTCTGAATATTGCAACTAATAAAACAGCAGCACAAACCTCTCTGCTTGAAGGATTTGTTCGATTCATTGTCGCTCTTATCGTTTTTGGGACTCTTAGATCCAGATCTCTTGTCGCCAGACTTGTCAGAACCTTCTCTCTTTGTCGATTCGTCAAACTTCCTCGAGGACGCGGAAGAATTCGATCGCCTTTCCGCCGGGCTCGCGGAACCCGCTGACTTATTGCTTCTCTGAGAAGATACGCTTCGAGATCTGCGACTTTTCGGGGAATCGTAACCGGAGGCGTTGGACGCGGGGGAAGCCGGAGTCTTGGACTTTCTCTCTACCGACCTAGACCTCGAGCTGATGGGTGACTTCGGACTCGAGGAGCGCACGCTGCCGCGCGGGGATTGCGAGCGCGAGCGCGATCGCGGTGACTTTCGTGAATCCGCCGAGCTGCGAGAGACCGCCGATTTCGGAGTACCGCTCCTGGACCGCGGCGAACCGGACTTGCCGCTTCTGGACCTCGGTGACCTAGAGACGGATTTCCCGCTTCTGGACCTCGGTGACCTGGAGACGGATTTCCCGCTTCTGGACCTCGGTGACCT